CTTTATGTGGATATTGAAACTGTTTGTTGTTTTGATGCTTTATTTTTTACTTAGTGTTCCTTAATTTGGATTTTGAAGCAAATGTTTTGCCTTACTGATGCAGGGAAGATTCTTCTCACTGTTTCTTTACATGGGAAGGGCAAAGATCTATCCACCAACCATGTTGGTTATGTAAATCCAACAAATGACACTTCTAAAGAAATTGAAGTGACAAGCATTTCTTCTCAAGATTTCCATGGTTTTGCAGCTCATTCCAAGAAAATTTCAGAAGGGAAACATTTAATGAAGAACATTGCTTGCCATTTTGAGAAGCTTTTCGGCAAGAATGAAGAAGCCAAGAAAAGTGACGAGGAAGAAGTGAAGAAGGATGATTCTTCTGACCTTTCCACCATCACATCTGACTTTGAAGACCCTGTGGAGGAGCCTCCGGTCAGCCGTAGCTTTGAAGAAGTGATTGAGCGAATGCAGCCCACCAGTGAAGATAAAGAAATGCCAGGGGACCTGCAGGGTGGAGTCCTGCTAGACCAGACATACGTTCTGCCCTCAATAGAACTTAACACGTTTCTTTTCGCTCCTGGTTCACAGTTCAGGAAGGATCTGGCGGAGTTGCAGGGTACAATAGATGTTCAAGAGGGTCCTTGGACATGGAAATCAGATGACATGTGTGTAACAAGAGTTGTCACCTATATTAAAGCAGCAAGTAAGTTAGTTAAGGCTGTTCAAGCCACAGAGGAGCAAACATATGTTAAGGCTGATGGAAAAGAATTTGCTGTTTTTGTCTCTGTAAATACCCCTGACGTTCCATATGGGAGTACTTTCAAGATTGAGTTGCTTTACAAGATAATGCCTGGCCAACAGGAACCTTCTGGTGAAGAATCCACATGTCTGATTATATCTTGGGCTATTAACTTCTGCCAGAACACTATGATGAAATCAATGATTGAGAGAGGAGCTAGACAAGGATTGAAGGAGAGCTTTGACCAGTTTGCAGAGTTATTAGCTCGCAAACTGAAAGTTACAACTTCAAAATTTGTCTTAGAGAAGGATCGAGCTTTGGCATCCTTGCAGACTGAACAACAGTCAGATTGGGAAATGGCAAAGGAGTACTTTTGGAATTTTACAGTAGTATCTACTATTTTCATGGTTTTGTATGTCTTTGTGCACATCTTATTAAGTGAACCTAGCAAATTACAAGGATTGGAGTCTTATGGTTTTGATTTGCCGGATAGTGTTGGAGAAATTATCACCAGTGGGATATTAGTCCTTCAATTGGAGCGGGTGTATTACATGGTTTCACGTTTTGTAGAAGCTAGGCTGCGAAGAGGTCTTTAAATATGTCCCATCATTTCTTTCTTAGACCAACTTTTTTCGTTTGATGCACACAATGGTTTGTGCATAGTCACGCTAACAGAATCTGGTTTTGACAGGAAATGATAATGGAGTTAAAGCACAAGGTGATGGATGGGTACTTACTGTAGCTTTGATTGAGGGAATGAACTTAGCTTCCTTGGACCCAACAGATCCCCCAGATCCATATGTGGTCTTAACATGCAATGGCAAAACAAAAACCAGCTCTGTCCAGCTTCAAACTCTTGACCCTCAATGGAGTGGTGTGCATTTATTTCTCATTCATCCTCTTTTGTTTGTTGTTGTTAAGGTCATATGCTTACCTGATACTTTTGCAGAGATACTAGAGTTTGATGCTGCAGAAGAACCACCTTCGGTGTTAGATGTGGAAGTTTTTGACTTCGATGGTCCATTTGATCAAGCTTCATCACTTGGACATGCAGAAATCAATTTCCTAAAACACACTTCTGCAGAATTGGCAGATATTTGGGTTCCTCTCGAGGGAAAGATTGCGTTGTCTTCACAATCGAAGTTGCACTTGAGGATTTTTTTGGACAATAACAATGGAGTTGAAACTATCCGAGACTACCTTACAAAGATGGAAAAAGAAGTTGGAAAAAAAGTAGGTTTATGTCTTCTCTGTTCTCTCCAAATTGTTTCGCATTGTTAAGGAATGACAATAGTCTAAAACAACCAACTGATATGCTTGGCAGTTAAACCTTCGGTCACCACACAAGAACTCAGCATTTCAGAAAATTTTTGGATTGCCTCCAGAAGAGTTTCTCATCAATGACTATTCTTGCTCCCTCAAAAGAAAGATGCCATTACAGGTTCCAATAGTATATGCTTGCTTATTCTGTTTAAACATCCATGTGATTTGTGGTCTTTGATTGTTGTTTCAATGCATTATGATGATATCAAATCTGTAAATATGAAGTGATAAAGCTAGCTTGTTCAAAACTTTAGGGGAAGATGGGTGGGGGGTCGAAGGGGGAGAAAAAGAAAGAAATTGAGAAAACAAGTATTCTGGTTAGATTGAAATCTTGGTGGTAAATAACATTCACATCTGGAAGCTTCCGACTCTTTGATATTTCAAATTACCGGAATGCTTTGCTAAGTAGCATTCACATATTGTCAACATACGGGTATACTACAGAATGAAATTATCCATATAAATAGACCAGATAGCTTTATTTTTTACTAGTCTGGACATGTGTTTGTATTAATTTTTGTTCAACTCCACATATTTTTCTCCTCCTTTCTTCAACTTCTAGGGGTTGAAATCTAGTAAATCACTTAATTTTTGTAATGCTACTGCAGGGGCGGATCTTTCTATCTGCCAGAATTGTGGGGTTTTATGCGAATTTGTTTGGTCATAAAACGAAGTTTTTCTTCCTGTGGGAGGATATCGAGTATGTTAATGTGGTTTCCCCTTCATGGTCAACCGTGGGGAGTCCTGCACTTGTGATGATTTTGCGCAAAGGTCGAGGTGTTGATGCTAGGCATGGTGCAAAGTGTCAAGATGAAGAAGGCCGACTGCATTTCTGTTTTCATTCATTTGTCTCATTCAATGATGCAAGCAGGTATTGTTGGGGGAGATTTTCTGGTGCCAATGTCAACAAATACAACTTACATCTGATGTCACATTATGTTTCAATTGGAAGATTAGAACATTATTGTGTTGTAGCAGGACAATCATGGCATTGTGGAGAACAAGGGCACTGCCTCCGGATCAGAAAGAACAAATTGTTGAAGAGCAGCTGGAGAAGGATGAAAAGCTTGCTTTGTCTGAAGACACTTCATCCTACTTGGTTGTTGAGGATGTACAAATGTCTAAAGTCTATTCTGCAGAACTACCTGTCAATGTAAGTTTCTCCATGTTAACATTGGTGGTGTTATTTTGATGCTGAGATTTAGTCGATCTAGTCTTTTATTATCTGTAAAAATATGATGGGAGCTTTGGGATGGAAAGCTGAGAAAGTATTATCGAGGAATTTCTCAAGATTTCTTGTTATATGTAAGTGAAGCTGTAAGGATGAAGGGGTTGACATGAGTTTCTCTGTTTGTGGATGGGGAAACCTATATTCATCGACATCTATGCTTTGCTAGTTCTAAAAAGTAGTTTAGCTGCCCAAATTGAATTGAATTCCTTGTTTTGCTATGTTTGAAATGAGCAATTTGGCCATTAAGCGATAAATAATTGTTTTAATTATAGATGTCCAGGTCTTTGATACTGGCAGGTTATGGAGAAACTTATCCAATAATCCACTTCTTTCCCTCTGCCTGGAGGAATTGACCAGTCTAAACTAGATCTCTTTTGTAACTAGTGCCCTTGGGTTTTTGCTGGAAAATCTGCAGGTTAAATCTCTGATGCGGATGTTTGATGGAGGAGACTTGGAGCATAGAGTGATGAGCAAATCTGGTTGTCTAAATTATGCCACGACTTCATGGGAAACCGTAGCTCATGATGTTTCTGAGAGACAAGTATGTTACAAATTCAACCGCTTCATCTCAATATTCGGTGGTGAAGTAACAAGCACGCAACAAAAATCACCTATTGCAAATGGCGCTGGATGGAGCATCAATGAGATCATGGCCCTGCATGATGTCCCGTTTGGTGATCATTTCCGAGTATGTTTCAATTGTTCATTACTGTTGGTCAAGCTGTTAAAGCATGATGAGTTGATTAACATTTATTTCTTCTAATTTGCAGGTACAATTCAGATACCAGATCGAGAGCTCTACTTCTGTACATAATTCATGCAAGTGTGATGTTCGTGTTGGTGTAATGTGGCTTAAAAACACAAAATTTGAGCAAAGAATAGCAAGGAATATTATTGGAAAATTTACCACTAGAGCAAAGGATATATTAGAGTTGGTTGAAAGAGAGATATTGTTGTCAAGTTGATAGAACCAGGCAAATGTTGCCACTTGAGATATAGTTGCTTTAACATTAGAGATGTCATGAACCAACGGATACCATAGTAATTTCTGATAGAACTTTTTGCACACTTTATGAATCAGCTTCTCATTCCATTGATTCAATTTGGGTAAACTCGAATTTATGTAACAATGGACCAGAGAATTTGTCCAACTCTTTATTCAATGCACTCAGTACATATGGAACATATTCGATACAAGATTAGAAGCCATCGCAATAGTATGGAGGATAGAAACACAATCCTACCTATTATATTTCTCACTTGTCATTTACCTTTTGTATATAGGATAATATATCTGAGATCTCTCCAAAATTTTATTGATTACCACTAAACTAAACCTTCTTAACTGTTTTTTTTTTTAATGAAATAAGGCGGAATAATGTCTAATGTCACATTTAAATCTAGAGAATACTCCAAAAATTACAGAAAAAATGTTGGAATAGTAATTCAAACGAAATCACATTTGTTTAGAATTTGATCTAAATAAATAAATATCAAGTGAGTTTTTTTGTTGCTAAAGGTGAGTTGAGATTGGATAATTCACTCCAGGATAATTAAAACAATATCCTAGTAAAAAAAAAAAAAAAGGAGAGAGAGAAGAGGAAAAAGGAGGAAAAAGAAGGAAAAAATAAAGATGCGAAAAAAAAGATAGAGAGAGTTATAGAGATATAAAAGAGAGAGGTAGAGGAGGAGAAAAAAAAATATCGAGATGCGATCTTAACGTGTAAATCAGTTATTCATGGATTAGTTCGTCAGCCGGCCTGGCCTGCTCTTATAGAGTTATAGTTGACGAAAAAGCTAGAGCTCACTGTTCTTCACAACTCAATAACCTCCCTTCCCAATTTCATTTGATAATCTCCAGTAGCCATGGATCCAAACCCTACCAATTTCCCAATTCTCTCCTACGTCATGTCCAAGCTACCCAGTATGGGCCGTAGAACCACCGCCACCGCCGATGAATTCGACATCGAACAGCCCCAGAACCACCCTCAGCCTCCTCCAGAACCTTACTTCGACATCACCGAGCGTATGCCTCATCTCACTGACCCTAAGGTTGTCAACGCTATGCGATCAGCCGTTGCTGACGTGTCACAGACCCGGTCAATGCTCAAAACCCTGGGTGAGCGGCCTTTTCACGAGCTTGTTGATACTGCCAGGGTGAAGTTAGCTGAGATCGAGGTGGACATGTCCAAGCGTCTCGAGGAGATTGTTCTGTCTCCACGTCCGCCGGAGATGGAGAGGCAGGATTGGAGATTGGACATGGCGATTAAAGAGGATGAATGTCGAAAGGGTGTGGAGAAGGAGAGAGAGGAGTATAAGGCGTTGATAGCTTTGGATGAATTGCACGAGGCGTATGAGAAGATGTTGAAGGATGCGGAACAGAGGTTGGAGAAGATTTATGAGACTGCTGTTGCTGGTGGTGATGTGGAATCAATTGGAGAGTCTTCTGGTGAGAAGAGTTCTGAGTTGAAAGAGGAAGTGAATGAGGAAGTGATCGGGATTTTGCAGGAGGCATCAGGGAAGAGTGTGGAAAGGGTTGATTTGTCAGGCCGGCAACTGAGGATGCTGCCTGAAGCTTTTGGGAAGATTCACTCCTTAATTGTGCTTAATTTGTCCAACAACCAGCTTACGGTATGCCCTAGTTCAGATAATCTTTCATGGTTCTTGTCTTCGACTTGTTTTACTGGGATTTGAATTTATGGTCTGTATTAATTTTCAACTGCATGATGTCTTGTTGCATTTCGTGCTACTTGAAATACGGTAAATTGAACTACTAATGATACTTTTACCCCGATATTGTTGGCACATCCATGTCAAATGCATAGTTTGATATTTCATTTCACATGTGGAAATAGCAGAAGTTTGATGGAGATCATATTGTAGAGGAGCTATATAAAAGTGTGGTGTTTCTTTTTCTTTTTTTTTCCTCCTTTGGGGTGAGGGGTTAGTTTCAACCTATGATTGAACTGCCAAACTACAGGTCCTTTGGGTTTAATTAAAAGCGTATATTTTCGTCTCAATGACTTGTTGCATGGTAAAAGTTTGATAGCTCTTTTCTGGTTGCTACCAGCATAATTTGAGGTACCACAAATTTACTGTCACGTGCTGGGACAAGTTGCGTTTAGAGGGTCTGAACATGGAGTTTTGCACCTTTCCCATGCTTTACTCGGAGCACTCATCTAAGTTATTTTATTTTTTCACAATCAGAAGCTCTTATCAAAACTCTGTTACATTGTTTACTGCTTCTTACTATTGTAAACTGATCATCGTTTGGCTTTTTGAGATGCTTTTTCTTTTATGAAACAAGACTCAATCTTCAAAAGAATGACACTATCACTACTGGGGAGTTGATAGTTCTTTCTTACTTTCAAAGTTAGGAAATCAATATCATATCCACAAAGAATCAAGTGCTGCACTGAGCTGGGTATTTTGAACCTCACCATGCTTGAAGTTGCAATTTTGTACCTTTACTATGATTTGATCATAGAACAGAACCCCAATGCATATGATTAAAGGGGGTACTAGGTTTCTTTTGACTTGTAAGGTGCAAGAACCTTCTGAACCTACTCTAATATCTGATTATGCTAAATATTTATCGAGCACCGGTTCCTCTTCCTGCCCTTTATCTCTTCTAGGAGAGGAACATTACTTGTCGCATTATTTTCTCATTCCTGGTTCCACTTCGTTTCTTGAATAATAACAGTGTTCTGCACTTTCGCCTCCTGAAGGCTGTCTTCCAGGATCCAAAGTCTCCCAAAATATAGTATTGTACTTCCTCCATTCCAATTTATCTATCTGTTTTTGCTTTCTGCTGATTGATTGACCACTAACAAAGTTAAATCTGAAATTGATTAGTTTATATATGGAAAAATGTAAGTAAGCTATTACTACACGAAAAGTACTAGAGGCTGCAGTTTTCATTGTAAGAATGTGATTTAAAGATACATTTAGAAATGTTGGTCTAAGATCAATCTGTTTGACTATTCATTATTGGGAAGTAAAAAGGGATAGCTATTTTTGATAGAGGTAGTAGTGGATGTGATTTTGTCATGTTTACTATTTGAACTGGCAGAAAATTCCATTACTATTACCTGAGTTACAGAATTTCATAGCAAGTGTAAAGCTCTAAAATATTTGCTTTTCATCATAATAATTAATATAGCTGTTTAATCACTCAACTATTACTAGGATCCATATAGCTGACCCCTACTAATTACAGATGTAGTAATATTCAGTTTCAATATTACTACATCTGTAATTAGTAGGGGTCAGCTACATGGATCCTCGTAAATACTCTCTCTTGTACACTTGAAGCAATATGCTAACTACCTTAAAACCCAAATCTGAATGATGTCCATTGTTATGTGTCACCGCCAATCCATTCTATTTAGAGAAGCAGTTGTCACTTGATCATTGAAGCTAGTTCCATTGCTATAATCTATATATAGTTTAACAACATCTGTATCCACAGGACAGGTAACCACCAATTTGTGTCCCGATACTTCTCTGCCACTGCCTATTAATTGCATCATATCCCTCATTGTATCCACTTCAAGAATTCTTCCATCTGACAATCGCATAATATTTTCCACTGTAACATATATTTATCAAAAGCCCAACATTGTTCTTCGTGATGGTTGAGTGAGAACAAACTCAATTTGTTGTTTGGCATTTCAAATGTTTGTAATTTTGTGCTTCTTAATTTTTTGGGAAAACAGGTGGTTCCTGATTCAATTGCGAGCTTGGAAAACCTTGAGGAGCTGCACCTTTCTTCAAATCTTTTGGAATCGCTGCCAGACTCCATTGGTCTGTTGTGTAGTTTAAAGATCTTAGATGTCTCTGGAAACAAGCTTGTCACTTTGCCAGATAGCATTTGTCATTGCAGGTAATAGTGGTTCAGAAATGAGCTATTTTACCCTTTTTCCCAGCCCAAGTACACTAATGTAGTCTTGTTAGTGCTCTCAGACTCTCTTCGTTATGGTTGTGTTTGCAGGTCGTTAGTGGAATTTGATGCAGGCTTCAACAAGCTTTCTTATTTGCCAACAAATATTGGCTATGAACTGGTAAATCTGAGAAGGCTTTCACTTTCTTTTAATAAGCTCCGCTCGTTACCCACTTCCTTTGGTGAGATGAAGTCCCTGCGCCTTCTAGATGTGCACTTTAATGAACTACATGGGCTTCCACTTTCATTTGGGAACTTGACAAATCTTGAGATCCTCAACTTGAGCAACAACTTTAGTGACCTAACTAAGCTTCCTGACACAATTGGTGACTTGATAAATCTTAAGGAACTTGATCTGAGCAACAACCAGATCCATGAACTGCCTGACACAATTAGCCGACTTGACAACCTGACTGTGCTTAAGTTGGACGAAAACCCTCTTGTGATACCTCCAAAGGAAGTCGTAGTTGAAGGGGTTGAAGCTGTAAAGGCTTATATGATTAAGCGGCGGCTTGACATACTTTTGGCAGAAGAGCCAGAAATTATGCTTGAAGAGGTGGGGCAGACACCGACAGGTTTATTAACTCGAAGTACCTCCTGGTTGAGTGGTACTGTTTCAAATGTTCTTGGAACTGTTGCAGGGTATTTGGGTGGTGGAGGGAAGTCAGATCCAGACCATTATCTCAACCAACAGTTATGACTTATGAGGCTAATGATTTCTTTCCTTTTAAGCCTTTTCACTTCTGTCTGTTTCCGTTGAAAGAATATGGTTGATATGGACCAGCTACGCCTTTCCTTTCCTTTTTAAATTTTTTTCAGTTTGATGTGTGAAGAGAATTGAAGGATGTTGGTGTTTTGCAGTCTGAACATTTATATGTTACAATAAATACAAACTAGTGTTTTTTGATCTCTAGCTTCTAAAAATGTCTGTGTTGAATGTTTTAATCAGACTTGACGAGGGATTAAGGCCCAATAGCAGAGGGAGCAAATATAATCTCTCGCGAGTTCCTGTTATGCAAGGTGTCTATTTGATGGAAGTTTTATATCAATTCTGTTTTCTGGCAAAAGTAACAGGATTTAGGAATCAAACTATAACCTCTCTCAAATGTATGAGTAGTCGTTACACCTCGAAAATTGTATATTCTTATAGATCAAATCATGCTAATCGTAAAAAGCTTGAGGAAACATTACTACTAATGAGACTAATTGATGTTCAAATCGGTAGAATGTAGACGATAAAATTTTACAATTTGGTGATATTATAGATGTATTGTAAATTGTAATTATGCATTGATATTCAAATTAATTTTCTCAATTCTGTATAATTTAATAGTAATTTTTTTTTCTTTTTAAAAAAATGCGGAGAATCCAAATAGTTAACTCACTGAGCTACTAAGATTCCCAACGCACTACAATATCAGTTTGCACACCACTAAGTTACAACGTTCGTCCCTACCAATTATGTAAGCATATAAATGAGCTTGCAAGTGTGCCTTAGAACTTAAGCACATGAATCATGATACGATAATTAATTAATGCCCATGAGCCAACACCCTCACTTTTAAAACTAGAGTCAACTAATGAAATGGCCTAAAAATGCGGTGGAATATTATAGGGTATATATATATATATATAAAAGTATATAACTCATTTACACATGTTGCAGATAGTGCCTGGAATGTATGATACTCTTTAATTTATCTGCCAGAAGGATATATGTCACATGGTCATGGAGAGAAAATATTCAAGCATAATAAAATACTAGCACGAATCACATTAATCGTTTTTTTAATAGGATATTGCCTTGGACCAAATCCTTTTGTCAAGACAATTACATCATATAATGGGAACAGATATAACTCAATCTTGAAACCAGATACTTATATTAATCTTCTTAATTTTACTCGGATTTGTTATTTGTTCTTGCCATAATTTGTGGTGATAAAGTAAAACCATGATCAACGAAAAAAACTTGGAACTCCTTCTTGATTTTCCTCTTCTTTCCAACATTAATGAAAAGGATCCTGAAAATGGCATCAAGGGATGGTATGATATGTATGAGACTATTGAAGAGCTAAAGAAGCAATTGGAATTAGCAGGACCTCTGGTTGTTGTAGGTTTTATGCAGTACTTTTTGCTGTTGATATCTGTCATGTTTGTTGGTCATCTCGGAGAGCTTTCTCTTTCCAGTGCAACTTTAGCTACTTCTTTTGCTGGAGTAACTGGTTTCCGCTTCATGGTATATAGTATATGATTTAGTCAGATCATGCATTGGATCCCTTTATAGTCATCTGTTTTTGGTATGTAGTATGTTACAACATATTGATTGTTTGAATTTATTTTGAATATATAGCTTGGAATGGCAAGTGCATTGGAAACATTATGCGGACAAGCATATGGGGCAAAACAGTATCATATGCTTGGGATACATATGCAAAGGGGTATGATTGTAGTGGTGGCAATTTCCATCCCCATATCGATTGTTTGGGCATTTGCAGGGCATATATTTGCTTTCTGTGGACAAGACATTGAACTTTCAATTCACGCTGGAGTGTATGCTCGTTGGTTGATTCCCAGCATTTTGCCTTATGGGCTCCTCCAATGCCAATTAAGGTTCCTGCAAACACAAAGTAGACTTAAACCACTGCTGATCAGTACTGGCTTCACAAGTTTACTTCATGTCTTTTTGTGTTGGGCATTGGTTTCAAGGTTGGGATTGGGAAACAAAGGGGCTGCACTCTGTAATGCCATATCTTATTGGATCAATGCGTTGATTTTGGCGCTTTATATAAGGTATACATCGTCATGTGAGAAAACATGGACAGGGTTCTCCAAAGAGGGTGCAAGAAACCTTCCCAGTTTTCTATCATTAGCTATTCCTTCAGCTTGTATGATCTGATTAGTTTCTGTATCCTTGACTATTTTCCAATTGTTTTCTTTTGTAAATGTCCCATTAGTACAAATTTCTCCGACATCTTTATGTTTTTCTAATCATGTGATCTGACATGACCTTTTTGGATCGGTACCAAAAGCTTGGAGCAATGGTCCTATGAGTTTCTGGTTCTTATGTCAGGGCTGCTTCCTAATCCGAAGCTCGAGACATCTATGATGGCCATCAGGTTAGTAGAGCTCAATTCCAAAAACGAAAATATGAACCAAGAATTCGCATTGGTATTGTCATATTAAGCTTAATTTGATTCATTACATCACCAATATTAACTCTTTTCTTCTTTTATTTCCCAGCATGAGTACCAGTTCTCTGGCCTTCAGGATTCCCTCAGGATTTAGTAGTGCAGTAAGGTAAGTTGCCAGAAAAGCTTCACTTTCTTTTTCTAGGTATATTATACACGAAAAGGAGAAAATTGTGCAATCACTATTTAACAAGTTAGGCATTTTGTCTGTTCTTTCTCTTGGATCCAAGTACGAGGATATCTAATGAACTGGGAGCAGGGAGACCTAAAGCAGCCAAGTTAGCAGCACGGGTCGTTCTGCTTATTGCTCTGGTAGAGGGCTTTCTACTGAGTGGAATCTCAATTGCAGCAAGAAATGTGTGGGGATATATATACACTAACGAAGAGGAAGTGGTGAAATATCTGGCTGCAGTCATGCCAGTACTTGCATTGTCCAATTTCATGGATGGAATCCAAGGGGTTCTTTCAGGTATGAACTCCAAACTATCTAATAAAATTTAATTTGAAGCCATATGTTTTGATCATAAAGTGTTCCATCAGTTCAGCAATATACATAGTTGCTTGAATACAAAATTAACTCTATTGATAACATTATTAAAGGTACTGCAAGAGGATGTGGTTGGCAGAAACTCGGTGCACAAGTCAATTTAGTAGCCTACTATGTTGTTGGACTTCCTTGTGCTGTGATTTTAACTTTTGTCTTCCATTTTGGAGCAAAGGTAACAAGTTTTTCACTTGAAAATACTATATAAACTTACTCGTGTATGGTATTTACACCAAACCAATGAATGTGTAACATGTATGAGAACATACACAACTATTACTTAGCTATGGATAATAAATGTATAATTATACTTCATTAAATCACACAACTATGGTACACTGCATTGAATTGATGTAAACACTTGGTGCGGATTAGTATTTACCCACACCAGTTATAGAAATTAAAATGTTATCCTTCTTCCACTAGATATTTAGATGGTCTGAGAATATTTTTGAGGCTCATAATATTGTTCCGCAGGGTCTTTGGACAGGAATTATTAGTGGAAGTGGTCTTCAAGCATTACTTTATATACTTATTACCCTAAGGATAAATTGGGAGCTTCAGGTAATTTCAAATTTTTAACTTTAAATTACCAAATATTTCTATCTGAATCTAACTAGAAACCGTCTCGTGTTTATACTATGATGATCAGGCAACGAAGGCTATGTGTAGAGTACAAGTTTCTTGAAACCTGAGAAGCAATTCATGTCATGATTAGGTTGTTTCTAATCTCAGTTTTGTCAAATCTTCCGCTTGTAAGCAAAAATAGAAACAAGTTTTGTCATTTGTATTACTCTGTACTATGAATGCATTTGTTTGCAAGATTCACCAAAGGTATATATACAAGGCATTCGTACTGAAAAACTATAGGAACACTCTGAAACTAACATGTTTTTTTAGTTGAAGAACAACTAATCATTAGCATAAATCAAACGCTGGGGTCAAATGCAATTTTGAATTGGTTATTTGGGTGCAGGCAGAGTACTCTGGTCTTGATTGCGTTCTCACTGAAATAGAATTTTAGGAAATAACATTAATGTGTGTTACAGGCTATTGTTTCAAAGCATGTTCCTTGTGAATTGCCAGCTCCCAGAAGACTAAGTCACAGAGAATAGTGAAGCATAATATAATATTAGCACGAATCACATTCATCATTTATTTATTGCTTTATATTTAAAGTCACTCTCTGGACCAAATCACCAAAACGTTTCATCAGAATCAACTAGATTGTGATATAACTCAATTTTGAGCCCTGATACTAACACTCATAAAATATATTTCCCAATTTTAATATACTTAGTTGTGACGGCAATTGCAAGATCATCACATTGTGTTTGGTTCTCTTTTTTGTTTATATTGTTATTTGTTCTTCCCCTTTTTAATAAATAAACTATGATGAGTGAAAGGAACTCCGAATTTCCTCTTCTTTCCAACAACATCGAAAAGGGATCATGGAATCCTGAAGAATGTGATAAGGTGTGTTGCGATATAGCTGAGTGTCATGACCCGCCACTTTGTCATTCACTTAAAGGCATAAAAATAAGGGGGAAGAAACTAGAGTTGTGGAGAGGTTTGCGAAGTCTCTAGAATTCCCTAGAATACTTCTTGGAAGGCTTTAGAATTCTCTAGACTTGTAGATAATTTTATAAGAGGGTCACATTCGTGAGTAAGTTGTCAAGTGCCGCACAGAGTATTAGTGGAAGTCTAAGTCCGTGACATGAGGCTATTGAAGAGCAAAAGAAGCAAGTAGAATTAGCAGAACCTCTGGTTCTTGTGAGTTTTTCTTTATGGACTCCTACAATGCCAACTGAGGTTCCTGCAAAGTGCAAACACAAAGCAGAAACTCTTATAAATTTGATTGTAGTAGAACAAGAGCCACTACTGTTCTGACTAGAAACTCTTATAATTTTGGATCAGGCAACGAAGGCTATCTGCGTAGGTACAGGTTTCTGAAACAGCATGCTATTGTGTCATGATTAGGAAGTACATTTCATCTGGATATTTTGTATGACGATATGTACGGATTGCTTGCATGCACCTAAATTATTTCATTGAGTACAACATACAAAAC